CATGCTTAACACGACGATCCGCATTGATGTAAACTTGATACTAACAGACTAGCTTTCATTGACATAAAATATTGACTCCCACAGTGACTTACATTGACATAAACATTATATGACCAACAGAATAACTTACATTGACAGCGAGAGAGAGAGAGGGGGGGAGAGAGAGAGAGAGAGAGAGAGAGAGAGAGAGAGAGAGAGAGAGAGAGAGAGAAAGAGAGAGAGAGAGAGAGACCTTTGCGCCAGTTGACCGCCCGGCTTACATGACTTTGAAATTGGACATGCGCAAGTGCTTGTCGAAAAGTTTGGTATCAGGGTTATAGGCCATCAGAGAGAGTCCGCGCCTCACGCTGTCGATCAGGTTCTTGGTGGCATCCTCCAGGGACACGGGAGTGTAGAGGCTCTGCTCCACGTCGCCAGCATACGGGGGCTGGTTCATGATGTCAAACTCGAACAGCACCTGGCTCTGCGTGATGTCCAGTCTGAGGCCCACCACGCGCCACCACAGGACTTGGGCTTGGTCGGCGATGGTGAACATGGCTTTGCTGAGGAAATTCTCCCTGTATCTGTTCACGATGTCACGTGTAGCTCCTTCCAGTACGGTCTGGAAGTGGTTCTTGGCACTGTCCGGGAAACATGGACGCACGTCAAAGACTCCAAGCTTGAGCCGAGTGAAGTCAACGTCGTAGATATTCATGTCTGTGCTGTAAGTAGTCGTGTCGCTTTCCCACATCCGGAACTTTACAGGGATTTGGAGCTTTTGGTCTTTGTAGGACTTACTGTTGTCGTTCCAGGTGGTTGCATGCTTTGCGAAGTACCACTCTATAGTGGCCAGGTTGCTGGGTGTTTGACTGTTAAGGAGGGTTGTGCGGGTGACGAAGGTGTCGCTCATGATACCTCTCACATTTCTTTCTCCAAGATAGTGATACTCAGTGCCGAATGCGTAAAAGAATTTGGCCGGGCTCAGTTGCTTGATTTTACCGTCATCCTGCACTGTGTAGAAAGGCAAAGGGGTAGCTTTGTTGCTTTGCGTAATGTTCATTACTTTACAGGTGCCCACTTTTTTGTCCACGATGAACGAGAGGCCGGAAGTGAAGTCCTGAAGTATCTCGCGTTTGTTTATGCCCTTGTCAGAGCCCAGGTCGCTACTTTTCTGAAGTCTCATGACCGCGAACTTGTCATCGGTGGAGAAGATTTCCTCGAGGAAGGTATAGGCACCGTTTGCGTGGTCGATCACCTCTGCGGAGAACTGGATATAGTTAGGTGTTGGCGGGAAAGGGTATACTTTCTCACGCCTGCAGAAGACGCCAGGGGGTGTCTCCAGCTGTACAGGGACGACAGAGAACTGGAAATTGAAGAAGCTGTACGTATGCTTGACTTGCACGGACTGACCTCTCACTGTCCCCGTACCATCCAATGTCATAGCAATAGGAATTACTTGGTCAGACGGCAACTTCCACGTGGTCGCGTTGGAGAAGTAGTGGGTGACCTTGAAAACTAATTCCTGGCCATTGATGGCCCATCTCTGGCAGGACTCGTACTGTTCCACGTTCATATCCCTGAAGACAGCTTGACCCACGTGCTTGACCTTGATGTTGTCGTCATTGAATCCAGACTTGCCCGTCATTCGCAGCACGCCCAGTGCACTGGGGATCTTGGCGTCGTCCTTGACCCCGCCCACCATGAAGGTCTCCGGAGCGTCTGACAGTTTCTTAGCCGTACAGTTGCCCCGCCCTATGCTGTAGTCGATGCCGAGAACCTCCTGATCTTCATAGTAAAAGAAGAGGTCTGACAGTTGACCATTGTCCAGCATGTTGAGGCGTATCTGGTTCTTTGTCTGGCTGTAATACATCATGATCTGTATGACTCGGGCGGTCTCAGTGCTGGACATTTCGATGTCAGCGGTGAACTCAGTGGTGGTGAGCAGAGGCAGATTCTTGACCGCGTCAGCGTCACTGATTACGACGCAGTCGTTGGCTGTGACGAAAGGCTGGAGCGTGGCAAGGAGCCAGGCGAAGAAAACCAGGGCTCGCATCATGGATAGATTGTCGACCCTGTGAAAAAAATGAAGTGGCACATTAAAAGTGTGTGTATATAAATATATGTATTCTATATC